CACAATCGAAACAAAGGTGAGAAGCATTATTTCACACTTCAAAATACAATTCAGTCATTCATATTCGACCAACCGATGACGATACAGACAGAACAATCACTGAATTCATCAGTGAAATTAAGACAAATAGAGTCAAACCAGTGGGTTAATAACTAACGCAACATCCGATCACCGAACAAAGAAGTAAACCTAAAACAACACACTACACCAAGACAAAGGTGAATAAACTAACGAGACATATTCTGCAAGTAAAGTTATGCTAACCAGCACACATTCAAATAATAAAGGCCGATTTTCGTAAAATGGATTTCAAAAAGAAATTCTATAGGAACTACCGAATTTCGGACAGTACATATACACTCTACACCTCTATTGATCATACAGAACATATACACACTACACGTGAACCAATCCCTTAGAATGCAAAAAGCGGAAACACATCGGTCATGTATGTGACACAGTAGTGAAACGTGAAATTCATCAAGTCAACATGAACATCTCGCACAAAATAAACACACGAACAACAAACTCACCTCCATGGACTGACTCCATGTGAGTCTTCAAATGGTCAGCTCGAGTGAATTCCTTCCCACATACGTCACACTGATATCTCTTACCTAATCATGGATACGAAAAACGAAAAAAGGAAAGGTAAAGACATCAATATAGTCACATGGAGTCTGTTGAGTTAACTGAGAGGAGAACGGTTTTTCATTATAATCACCTCAGTATTATAATATCAGTAAGACAACTATAGAAGACACATCCTATTCCACTAAACAATAAATCATTTCCGATAACCATGGATAAATTTCGCCTCACATAAGGTAATTAAAATTAAAACAAATTAGCCAGAATAAAGTGTTAGAGAAATTGGTGACTACTTTGTGATTCTTTCGAAATTCACTCAGTCATCAGAATTCCAGTAAAACACATTACTCGCGTTTACTCAATATTTTCATTAGGTGGTAACTCACATGTTTCCAGAAATCTTTCGAGGAAGTTAGCAATGGCGGTATACTTCCGAAATATATACCACAGATGTCTATTGCTATTTAGTATTCAATTCAGAAATGAATTCACCACATTCGCTCTGATGCTCACTTTAACACTATACTCAGAAATGTGTCAATTCAACCTAGAACATCCACTTCGCCATTACTGCCACCCAGAATGTGAGCGGACTGTGACCACATCGTGATGAAATGCCACCAACTCATTACATGACAGTGGAACAGACACAATCAATCTGCACTCCTGTTGAATTTCCTAACATCTTAACATCTTATTCAAACCGCTTTCAACGTTACCAAGGTGGACATCTCATCTAAGTCATATTGTTAACTAGCGTTCTAAAGAATCTTCACGTCATCGCCATTATGTTGTGCATATAAATTAGTGAACGTTGGATTATACCACTGTCATGATTAAACTATATCGAGTACTTCGCTTTGTAATTTTGATGAAAGTTATTTATTCCTACAGGGATTCATTATTCTGTTAACGGATTAACCAGTCATCTCAGTTATGATCAATAATATTTCGAATCCCGTATTGTACTGAATGCTGAAAATTCCTTGCTGTATCATTAATACTGTTTTTGGAATAAAGCAAAAAATTATTATTATTATTATTATTATTATTGTATTACAATAAAGAGGATCCTAATTAGGATGGAGTCATCCAATTTTACTGAAAACCCAATAAACATACATAAACGTAAAATAAACAGACTCAGATTACGTCCTTATTCCAGTAACGTCTACTAGCTGATACGGCGTCTATGTTTACACTATCCATCGATTGTGTCTTTTCCAATCACACCACTTAATGATTATGATACTTTCGTTATGTACTAATCGCTATGCTTATTCTCTCCATCTATTTGTGTGTTCTTTCTCGATCCGTAATCACTGCGAACCAATGAAATCCGACTGACCTATAAAACAAGATGAAGATGGGTATGCTAGATTCATCGGAGTTGGACAGACTCCTTGAACTAGGACTAAATAAAATTATTGAGTTGAACATGGAGTCAAAAATCTCTAGTTTCGAATCATCTCAAGCTACTCCGACTGTGGTAGCTCCTGCTCCAGATGGGATTTCCAGTAACATTATTCAAACCAACTCTTATTTTGATTACAGTGTTACATTCATATTTAGTTGAGGAGATATGAAGACACCATTAAAGTAGATTTTGGCGGCCAAGCCCGTCTCTCAATTAAAGAATCGGCTCCAATGTGTCAACATAGTTCTGCCTCAAAATCCATGCGATCACATCTTTCACACGACACTGCACACATTAGCACATCAGTTTGATGAGCACTCATTTCTTTTAATTCTCTTGAGTTAATCAACAATGAAAATGATGAATTTCTAACACACGTTGGTGTGGCCAATCATATATGTGGACGCTTCAAATTGAAATCTTCAAAGGACGACAGTTTTAAGACAATTATACTCAACTGAAATCTACAGTCAACTATGATTGTCCATATGAGAATAAAGCTCTTGAATCTTTCCGAGCAGCATCGGTCCCTTACACGCACTTAAATAACTCATGAGTATCAACGAATCATAAGTACAGATAAATCCGAATGCGTAAATGGGTATAATGTACATGCGGTTAGCCAAAAACCACATACTGTCACAATTTCAACAAAGAACCTCTCTAAACTCAACATACGTAGTAACGACATTTAGATGAAACACAGTGTGGCAGAAGACTCCAATGTTTATTCTCTAAACGATATACATACACAGATCAGAACGCTGAATGTTCAATTGCCAAAACTGTATGGACATTATTTGGACGTGCAACGGTGAAGTCTCAGCGAGCACCGATTACCAATCATAACACTTCAACACTGTACTACAACATCAGAAATATAGCTCATACTCACACTCACAGATGGAGAACATTAACTCACTCTTTAAGCATCTCCTTAGCTTCGGTGGAATACCCAGAATGTAAGTTACAAATTCGAATGTACTTTATCTACCATAGTGGATTGACTAACAACACTCGTCTTGATTCTCATTGTATTCTATTTTATTGATTACACTGATAGTGGTTCTGAATATAATTTACCTTCCATGCTGTTTCCCACAAGTTTTATACTGATTTTATTCAAATGTCTAGTCTCTGTGCACTCAAGTATGTAAACGAAGCAAGCACATTGTGTGAGTACTGCGTTTATTTGATTATTGGCGGCAATAAATTGCGCTACAAACGTGGTCATAAGTAAATATTACTGTATAACAATGTGTGGCTACTTAATCAAAATAAAGGTTTATCCATAATGAAATTACCGAATCGTAAACAGAGCATATACACGCTACACCTGCACCAGTCCCTTAGAATGCAAAAAGCGGAAACACATCGGTCATGTATGTGACACAGTAGTGAAACGTGAAAATCATCAACTCAACATGAAACTCTCGCACAAAATAAACACACGAACAACAAACTCACCTCCATGGACTGACTCCATGTGTTTCTTCAAACTGACAGCTTGAGTGAAATCCTTCTTACATACGTCACACTGATATCTTTTACCTAATCATGGATACAAAATACGAAAAAGGTAAAGGTAAAGACATCAATATAGTCACATGGAGTCTGTTGAGTTAACTGAGAGGAGAACGGTTTTTCATTATAATCACCTCAGTATTATAATATCAGTAAGACAACTATAGAAGACACATCCTATTCCACTAAACAATAAATCATTTCCGATAACCATGGATAAATTTCGCCTCACATAAGGTAATTAAAATTAAAACAAATTAGCCAGAATAAAGTGTTAGAGAAATTAGTGACTACTTTGTGATTCTTTCGAAATTCACTCAGTCATCAGAATTCCAGTAAAACACATTACTCGCGTTTACTCAATATTTTCATTAGGTGGTAACTCACATGTTTCCAGAAATCTTTCGAGGAAGTTAGCAATGGCGGTATACTTCCGAAATATATACCACAGATGTCTATTGCTATTTAGTATTCAATTCAGAAATGAATTCACCACATTCGCTCTGATGCTCACTTTAACACTATACTCAGAAATGTGTCAATTCAACCTAGAACATCCACTTCGCCATTACTGCCACCCAGAATGTGAGCGGACTGTGACCACATCGTGATGAAATGCCACCAACTCATTACATGACAGTGGAACAGACACAATCAATCTGCACTCCTGTTGAATTTCCTAACATCTTAACATCTTATTCAAACCGCTTTCAACGTTACCAAGGTGGACATCTCATCTAAGTCATATTGTTAACTAGCGTTCTAAAGAATCTTCACGTCATCGCCATTATGTTGTGCATATAAATTAGTGAACGTTGGATTATACCACTGTCATGATTAAACTATATCGAGTACTTCGCTTTGTAATTTTGATGAAAGTTATTTATTCCTACAGGGATTCATTATTCTGTTAACGGATTAACCAGTCATCTCAGTTATGATCAATAATATTTCGAATCCCGTATTGTACTGAATGCTGAAAATTCCTTGCTGTATCATTAATACTGTTTTTGGAATAAAGCAAAAAATTATTATTATTATTGTATTACAATAAAGAGGATCCTAATTAGGATGGAGTCATCCAATTTTACTGAAAACCCAATAAACATACATAAACGTAAAATAAACAGACTCAGATTACGTCCTTATTCCAGTAACGTCTACTAGCTGATACGGCGTCTATGTTTACACTATCCATCGATTGTGTCTTTTCCAATCACACCACTTAATGATTATGATACTTTCGTTATGTACTAATCGCTATGCTTATTCTCTCCATCTATTTGTGTGTTCTTTCTCGATCCGTAATCACTGCGAACCAATGAAATCCGACTGACCTATAAAACAAGATGAAGATGGGTATGCTAGATTCATCGGAGTTGGACAGACTCCTTGAACTAGGACTAAATAAAATTATTGAGTTGAACATGGAGTCAAAAATCTCTAGTTTCGAATCATCTCAAGCTACTCCGACTGTGGTAGCTCCTGCTCCAGATGGGATTTCCAGTAACATTATTCAAACCAACTCTTATTTTGATTACAGTGTTACATTCATATTTAGTTGAGGAGATATGAAGACACCATTAAAGTAGATTTTGGCGGCCAAGCCCGTCTCTCAATTAAAGAATCAGATCCAATGTGTCAACATAGTTCTGCCTCAAAATCCATGCGATCACATCTTTCACACGACACTGCACACATTAGCACATCAGTTTGATGAGCACTCATTTCTTTTAATTCTCTTGAGTTAATCAACAATGAAAATGATGAATTTCTAACACACGTTGGTGTGGCCAATCATATATGTGGACGCTTCAAATTGAAATCTTCAAAGGACGACAGTTTTAAGACAATTATACTCAACTGAAATCTACAGTCAACTATGATTGTCCATATGAGAATAAAGCTCTTGAATCTTTCCGAGCAGCATCGGTCCCTTACACGCACTTAAATAACTCATGAGTATCAACGAATCATAAGTACAGATAAATCCGAATGCGTAAATGGGTATAATGTACATGCGGTTAGCCAAAAACCACATACTGTCACAATTTCAACAAAGAACCTCTCTAAACTCAACATACGTAGTAACGACATTTAGATGAAACACAGTGTGGCAGAAGACTCCAATGTTTATTCTCTAAACGATATACATACACAGATCAGAACGCTGAATGTTCAATTGCCAAAACTGTATGGACATTATTTGGACGTGCAACGGTGAAGTCTCAGCGAGCACCGATTACCAATCATAACACTTCAACACTGTACTACAACATCAGAAATATAGCTCATACTCACACTCACAGATGGAGAACATTAACTCACTCTTTAAGCATCTCCTTAGCTTCGGTGGAATACCCAGAATGTAAGTTACAAATTCGAATGTACTTTATCTACCATAGTGGATTGACTAACAACACTCGTCTTGATTCTCATTGTATTCTATTTTATTGATTACACTGATAGTGGTTCTGAATATAATTTACCTTCCATGCTGTTTCCCACAAGTTTTATACTGATTTTATTCAAATGTCTAGTCTCTGTGCACTCAAGTATGTAAACGAAGCAAGCACATTGTGTGAGTACTGCGTTTATTTGATTATTGGCGGCAATAAATTGCGCTACAAACGTGGTCATAAGTAAATATTACTGTATAACAATGTGTGGCTACTTAATCAAAATAAAGGTTTATCCATAATGAAATTACCGAATCGTAAACAGAGCATATACACGCTACACCTGCACCAGTCCCTTAGAATGCAAAAAGCGGAAACACATCGGTCATGTATGTGACACAGTAGTGAAACGTGAAAATCATCAACTCAACATGAAACTCTCGCACAAAATAAACACACGAACAACAAACTCACCTCCATGGACTGACTCCATGTGTTTCTTCAAACTGACAGCTTGAGTGAAATCCTTCTTACATACGTCACACTGATATCTTTTACCTAATCATGGATACAAAATACGAAAAAGGTAAAGGTAAAGACATCAATATAGTCACATGGAGTCTGTTGAGTTAACTGAGAGGAGAACGGTTTTTCATTATAATCACCTCAGTATTATAATATCAGTAAGACAACTATAGAAGACACATCCTATTCCACTAAACAATAAATCATTTCCGATAACCATGGATAAATTTCGCCTCACATAAGGTAATTAAAATTAAAACAAATTAGCCAGAATAAAGTGTTAGAGAAATTAGTGACTACTTTGTGATTCTTTCGAAATTCACTCAGTCATCAGAATTCCAGTAAAACACATTACTCGCGTTTACTCAATATTTTCATTAGGTGGTAACTCACATGTTTCCAGAAATCTTTCGAGGAAGTTAGCAATGGCGGTATACTTCCGAAATATATACCACAGATGTCTATTGCTATTTAGTATTCAATTCAGAAATGAATTCACCACATTCGCTCTGATGCTCACTTTAACACTATACTCAGAAATGTGTCAATTCAACCTAGAACATCCACTTCGCCATTACTGCCACCCAGAATGTGAGCGGACTGTGACCACATCGTGATGAAATGCCACCAACTCATTACATGACAGTGGAACAGACACAATCAATCTGCACTCCTGTTGAATTTCCTAACATCTTAACATCTTATTCAAACCGCTTTCAACGTTACCAAGGTGGACATCTCATCTAAGTCATATTGTTAACTAGCGTTCTAAAGAATCTTCACGTCATCGCCATTATGTTGTGCATATAAATTAGTGAACGTTGGATTATACCACTGTCATGATTAAACTATATCGAGTACTTCGCTTTGTAATTTTGATGAAAGTTATTTATTCCTACAGGGATTCATTATTCTGTTAACGGATTAACCAGTCATCTCAGTTATGATCAATAATATTTCGAATCCCGTATTGTACTGAATGCTGAAAATTCCTTGCTGTATCATTAATACTGTTTTTGGAATAAAGCAAAAAATTATTATTATTATTATTGTATTACAATAAAGAGGATCCTAATTAGGATGGAGTCATCCAATTTTACTGAAAACCCAATAAACATACATAAACGTAAAATAAACAGACTCAGATTACGTCCTTATTCCAGTAACGTCTACTAGCTGATACGGCGTCTATGTTTACACTATCCATCGATTGTGTCTTTTCCAATCACACCACTTAATGATTATGATACTTTCGTTATGTACTAATCGCTATGCTTATTCTCTCCATCTATTTGTGTGTTCTTTCTCGATCCGTAATCACTGCGAACCAATGAAATCCGACTGACCTATAAAACAAGATGAAGATGGGTATGCTAGATTCATCGGAGTTGGACAGACTCCTTGAACTAGGACTAAATAAAATTATTGAGTTGAACATGGAGTCAAAAATCTCTAGTTTCGAATCATCTCAAGCTACTCCGACTGTGGTAGCTCCTGCTCCAGATGGGATTTCCAGTAACATTATTCAAACCAACTCTTATTTTGATTACAGTGTTACATTCATATTTAGTTGAGGAGATATGAAGACACCATTAAAGTAGATTTTGGCGGCCAAGCCCGTCTCTCAATTAAAGAATCAGATCCAATGTGTCAACATTATTCTGCCTCAAAATTCATGCGATCACATCTTTCACACCACACTGAACACATTAGCACATCAGTTTGATGAGCACTCATTTCTTTTAATTCTCTTGAGTTAATCAACAATGAAAATGATGAATTTCTAACACACGTTGGTGTGGCCAATCATATATGTGGACGCTTCAAATTGAAATCTTCAAAGGACGACAGTTTTAAGACAATTATACTCAACTGAAATCTACAGTCAACTATGATTGTCCATATGAGAATAAAGCTCTTGAATCTTTCCGAGCAGCATCGGTCCCTTACACGCACTTAAATAACTCATGAGTATCAACGAATCATAAGTACAGATAAATCCGAATGCGTAAATGGGTATAATGTACATGCGGTTAGCCAAAAACCACATACTGTCACAATTTCAACAAAGAACCTCTCTAAACTCAACATACGTAGTAACGACATTTAGATGAAACACAGTGTGGCAGAAGACTCCAATGTTTATTCTCTAAACGATATACATACACAGATCAGAACGCTGAATGTTCAATTGCCAAAACTGTATGGACATTATTTGGACGTGCAACGGTGAAGTCTCAGCGAGCACCGATTACCAATCATAACACTTCAACACTGTACGACAACATCAGAAATATAGCTCATACTCACACTCACAGATGGAGAACATTAACTCACTCTTTAAGCATCTCCTTAGCTTCGGTGGAATACCCAGAATGTAAGTTACAAATTCGAATGTACTTTATCTACCATAGTGGATTGACTAACAACACTCGTCTTGATTCTCATTGTATTCTATTTTATTGATTACACTGATAGTGGTTCTGAATATAATTTACCTTCCATGCTGTTTCCCACAAGTTTTATACTGATTTTATTCAAATGTCTAGTCTCTGTGCACTCAAGTATGTAAACGAAGCAAGCACATTGTGTGAGTACTGCGTTTATTTGATTATTGGCGGCAATAAATTGCGCTACAAACGTGGTCATAAGTAAATATTACTGTATAACAATGTGTGGCTACTTAATCAAAATAAAGGTTTATCCATAATGAAATTACCGAATCGTAAACAGAGCATATACACGCTACACCTGCACCAGTCCCTTAGAATGCAAAAAGCGGAAACACATCGGTCATGTATGTGACACAGTAGTGAAACGTGAAAATCATCAAGTCAACATGAAACTCTCGGAGAAAATATACTCACAAAACAACAAACTCACCTCCATGGACTGACTCCATGTGCCTCTTCAAATTGCCAGGTACAGTGAAATCCTTCCCACATACATCACACTGATATCTTTTACCTAATCATGGATACAAAATACGAAAAAGGTAAAGGTAAAGACATCAATATAGTCACATGGAATCTGTTGAGTTAACTGAGAGGAGAACGGTTTTTCATTATAATCACCTCAGTATTATAATATCAGTAAGACAACTATAGAAGACACATCCTATTCCACTAAACAATAAATCATTTCCGATAACCATGGATAAATTTCGCCTCACATAAGGTAATTAAAATTAAAACAAATTAGCCAGAATAAAGTGTTAGAGAAATTAGTGACTACTTTGTGATTCTTTCGAAATTCACTCAGTCATCAGAATTCCAGTAAAACACATTACTCGCGTTTACTCAATATTTTCATTAGGTGGTAACTCACATGTTTCCAGAAATCTTTCGAGGAAGTTAGCAATGGCGGTATACTTCCGAAATATATACCACAGATGTCTATTGCTATTTAGTATTCAATTCAGAAATGAATTCACCACATTCGCTCTGATGCTCACTTTAACACTATACTCAGAAATGTGTCAATTCAACCTAGAACATCCACTTCGCCATTACTGCCACCCAGAATGTGAGCGGACTGTGACCACATCGTGATGAAATGCCACCAACTCATTACATGACAGTGGAACAGACACAATCAATCTGCACTCCTGTTGAATTGCATATAGATGTGGCAAAGCTATCTAGCTTATCCTTCGTTAAAGTCCCAATCATTCGTCGGCTAGAGAATAACAAACATAGGTTTGCTGCGTTAAATGTTCTTCGTATACTCCTGGAAAGTCTCTGGAATAAAATCTCACTTGAGAAGTCACCATTAGATTGTAACTTATTTAATAGAGGTTTTTCTACGCGCAGTCAGATTCTCAGGTTTTCTCTCTGTTGTTTTCATAGGTTTAATCATGCTGTTTTCACTAATCATGTCATCACAGATTGCCTCACTTTTTCATACTCATTACTGATAAAACCAGTATTATTATTACCACTATTTTGAATAATTGCACAATTTATCTTCACCATCTAATTATCCTATAGACAAAACACCATGACTGGTTTATATTTGAATTTTTATTTGTAAGGTTATTTCGGTGTAGTAGAGTTACGCCCAATGAGATCTAATTGAAAGCAGAGTACTGCTCGCATAAATGTGTTGTACTAGTTTATTTAGGCGGAGCCTCCATGCTTCTGTATAGCCAGTTTACAATACGTGTAATCGAATTCCACTAAACAAGAGCCAATTATATGTGTTCTCTTATTGCCAGTAGACCTCGCGAAACTTCCTGTGGATTTTGTTCCTTAGAGTATGAAATTTCTTGTAAAAGAGGTGAACAATCACTTTGCCTTCTTCATTTAGGTTAAGATGGAGTTATGAAAACATACTGTTGTAAGTCCTAGAGACCAGAAGTAAGAGACAGAGACACGACAGAATACTTGAAAAGTTGTCTTAAGGTGTACGAAGCGATTTGAGTGGTCGGTGTAACAGAAAGATTGTTCCGAAAATCCATCCTGAACAATCGAATGACAACATACGGTGGGTTAGTGAGTTACACAACATACGGCCACTAACCAAGGAGGTGAATTTACAAGAACAAACTACACGAAAATACCGGTGACTAAACTCATACGATATATCCTGCAATCCCAGCCATGCTAATCATCAACGAATAAAATCGTGGAAGCCGATTCTCAGAAATGCATTTCAGAAAAGAAATTCTTGCAAAATTACCGAATCGTAGGCAGAACACTTACACGCTACACCTGCACCAACCTCTTGAAATGGAAAGGGTGAAACCACATCGGTCGTGTATGTGACATAGTAGTGAAAGGTGAAATTCATCAAGTCAACATGAAACTCTTGCACAAAATAAACACTTAAAACAACAAACTCACCTCCATGGACTGACTCCATGTGAGTCTTCAAACTGCCAGCTGTAGTGGAATCTTTTCCACATACGTCACATTGGTATCTTTTACCTAATCATGGATATGAAATACGAAAAGAGGAAAGGTTAATATAGTCACAGGAAATCTGTTGAGTTAACCGATAGGAGAATGGCTTTGTCATGATAATACCTTCAATAATAATAAAATTGGTAAGACGCCTACAGGAGACACATCCTATTCCACCACACATTAAATTATTTCCGATAACCATGGATAAATTTCGCCTCACAAGAAACAAATAAAATAAAAACAAGTTATCCAGCATACAGTACTACAGAAGTTAGTCACTATTTTGTGATTCTCTGGCATTTGCACTCAGCATTCCACTAAAACACACTACTCAAATTTACTCAAAGTGATCAGTATGTGGTAACTGCTTTAACTCATTTGTTCTCAGAAATCTTTCGAAGGAGTTAGCAATGACGGCATACTGCCAAACTATATAGCACAATCGTCGATTGCTATTTCGTATTCAGTTCAGAAATGAAAACTGGATGACAACGAATGACATCGCACAACTCTTAGACGTCATGCGATAGGGATCAAATTATAATTGTGAAGGTAATCTTTTCTTTTTATAACAGGATCTATTCCTAATTTCAATGGACATTGATGAAAATATCTTTTTTCATTTTGTTTAATCCTGTGTTAGAGCTGGTAGTGTAACAACACAAGACAAGGGCCAGGAAACAGATTGTTCATTAAGGAAAATCAACACATATTTATAGATTTTAATGTACATAATTGTAGATTATTGTTAGTAGAAAATACAGTCTTTTGAATGGTTGTTTCTCACTGAAAGTTAATCTTTCATCTCTTTGTTGCTGTCTCTTGAGTGTCAGATCAGATCTTGAGTGTCTATCTGCTAATTGTATCCGCCTACGCAAAGCCTTTATTCTATTTTCTCATCATCAATATTGGGAACGTAAACATTGACGTCAATTACTGTCTACCAATTTGGCTAGCAGCCATCTCTCACCATACATCTAATTTTATTTTCAAACTATACTTGTACGGAGAGGATGTCCAGATGACAAAATGGAAGAAATTGACAGTAGTCCCAGTGTATACACAGGCACAGAAGGCAATATTTTCCATCACTTCTAGCTGTTTATCTTCTGCAGTAGTGGTGGATAAAAGTAGCAAATTAATAAGAATGAGTATCCTTTTGTTGTTTACTCATGACTTGTCGAGTCCTCAGTCCAACTGGAAGCAGTTCTTTCGCCTAAGACTTTGTAAGGCTATGCATTAGTGAAACGCTGACTACATTGCGTGACAAGCCACCATTTCAACAGCGTTCTAATGTTTCCGTTCAATAACCAACAATGCTTTTACAGTTAACATAAGAACACTCATTTACATCTATTTCAACGACTAACGTTGTTTCAGTAAGCTAACTTGCTCATGCTTTCACAGGAGGATTAAAACAACCATCATAATTGTAGTAGTCGTTCATAGTATCCGTTCTTATATTTGTTCTGGTTGAATTTATTAACTCAGTGTCATAGAATGCTTTGTCGCCCTTCTCAGTACTCTACTCCTAAAAACATCCCCGCTTGAAAAAATTTTCAAGCAGCCATTTTCAATCTTCATATGATGAAAATTCTCATAAAGTTTCAGGTGGTGATCTCTGGTGGTTGTGTAACAACAAAAGACAAGGGCCAGGCAACAGATCATTTATTAAAGAAATCAAAGCATATTTATATATTTTCATGTACATTATTATAGATTAGTTAAGTAAACAACACAGTCTTCTGATTGGTTGTTTCTCACTTAAAGTTAATCTTTCATCTCTTTGTGACTGTTTCTTGAATGTCAGTTCATCTATATGTTAACTGTATCCGCCTACGCAAAGTCTGCTGTGGTCGGTTTTTGAATCAGTCTTGGTCATATTTTCTCACGATTAATCTTGAGAACGTAAACATTGACGTTAATTACTGTCTACCAATTTGGCTAGTAGACAGCTCTCACCACAGTTGCTTTTATCCATCCACTCACGAAGTGTACTCGCCACGTCACCTCAGTGGTCAGTTGTGATTTTCACCCTTTTGTTAAGGGATTCAGGTGACAACGAAAAATACTTTATGAGAGGAAACGGGAGGCCACTAATGCAATGAATAACTACTTAAAGTGGGGAGGCACGGAAGTATAGTTTTCAACACTTCTCACTACCTCTCAAAAATCATCAGTCAATATACAGTGAACTGGTCAGTTTTCGATTTAAAACCCTTCATACGTTTACTCTATTATCAAGAAGGAGTGCTGGATAGCTAGATCTGTGACAAAATCCAGTGGTGCGTAATACTAAGAGAATCACAGGAAACAATTACCGCCCGAGATTCGTGAATCTTGAATTATATGAGATTAAGCAACTTGTGCAGGATTAAATTCCTCCATAAGAAACTGACTTGGCAAAATAGTACTTGCAACATTAGGATATCGGGCGGCTTTTTGCTGGATGTTCTTTTGGAGTCAAAAATCTTTCCATAGGCTAAGACAAGTAGGTCTCGTCGAAGAATTTCGAGGTTTTATTTCACTTCGGAAATCAAGAAACAAACTTGTTTGTCAAAAACATAGACTTATCTCACACACGGCACTCTATTCATAAGTGAGAATAGCAGATAACAAAACGGAATACTTACTTGAAGAAACAAGCTGTAAGACATCTTTCCATAGTGTGCGCCGACAAAAATAAACAACATTGTCATGTTCACGCAAATCGTAACTAAGATAGGACAATTAACTGTCGACCACTCATTCTTATCAACGTCAAATAACCGATCGTCATCTCACTCCATTTCAAGTTTGTTTAAATGTGCCAATGGAAGTCTTTGAGAGTCGGTAATCTTCCGAAAGTCAATGCTTGCTAACGTTAAACTAGAGCTCTATGTATTTATGCATCTTCAGGCCTTCTTCTTCATTCGTGTTTCTGTTATGATTGTCAAATATTTTTGAAGCATTTGACAAGGAGCTCACATTTTAATGCTTCCGCTGTCAAAAAACTACACTATCATAATGTCTGTTGATCAGTTGACTTAGCTTATTTTCCTTCTTTTAAATATATAACACTTGTTAAATCTCTTACAATGATATTGTCTTTATAATAACGTCTATTGTCCTGGGGAAGAGTTTATGCTTTTGAGTGAGGCGAAAAATAATCATAGTGAGTACTATTATTTCTTAAAACCTGTCATTTCTTTGCACGACATCTTCTTACTCCTCGGTTATACTACCTTGTCTTCAAACAGTACTGACTAATCAAATCTATTGTCTGATATAAATTAGCACTATGATATCCTCTTTCACACACTCCTGTCACTACTTCCACAATATGGACTGAATCCAAAATTCCACGTCTTATCAAGAGCAATAACAATCAGTCCAGATGAGCATCCTATTAACCATCAACACTCTCCTTCCAACAACGAAATCCTGACTCTAAATTATTCAATACGGGCTATCAAAGTGACAACACAATTAGAAAACTGACTCACTCTAAAATTAGGTAAGAGACAAACCACTACACTGTGGTAGTGGTCATTATTCACACACTGACGTGCAGATAAGGCTTCTGCTTCTCTCTGCATTGATTAAACATAAAGAAAGTGGAATCTAGTCTCATGTTGCTTTACACCAGTGAGCGTTCATGATCATATACACTACTCCGCTTATTCAACAACCAAGAATTATTGGTATTATGAAAATCAATTATGTTTATATGCAGAAGACAACAGATTTCCACCAGAAACATTTGCACATACAAATATTCAAAGTGTATGGAAGCGAAGAAAATGCCACATGAAGTAATATCAATTCATCGTATCCTCTAATTAGTGTCTTCATGTACAAATAAAGTCCGTCACAATTGAAACAAAGGTGAGAAGCATTATTTCACACTTCAAAATACAATTCAGTCATTCATATTCGACCAACCGATGACGATACAGACAGAACAATCACTGAATTCATCAGTGAAATTAAGACAAATAGAGTCAAACCAGTGGGTTAATAACTAACGCAACATCCGATCACCGAACAAAGAAGTAAACATAAAACAACACACTACACCAAGACAAAGGTGAATAAACTAACGAGACATATTCTGCAAGTAAAGTCATGCTAACCAGCACACATTCAAATAATAAAGGCCGATTTTCGTAAAATGGATTTCAAAAAGAAATTCTATAGGAACTACCGAATTTCGGACAGTACATATACACTCTACACCTCTATTGATCATACAGAACATATACACACTACACGTGAACCAATCCCTTAGAATGCAAAAAGCGGAAACACATCGGTCATGTATGTGACACAGTAGTGAAACGTGAAATTCATCAAGTCAACATGAACATCTCGCACAAAATAAACACACGAACAACAAACTCACCTCCATGGACTGACTCCATGTGAGTCTTCAAATG